TTTTTATATTCTAGGCCTGCAACAGGTTTTAATTTAACTAGTACACCATTTGGTTCAACTACTCCAACATCTACATTAACATTTGGAGCTTCTTCAACACCAACAACAACTACTGGTCTCAATTTTGGTTTCAGTAATACACCTGCAACCTCAGCACAAATGCAATCAGGTGGTTTACTTTTGGGATCTAATCCAACTGTTACAACCACTGCTAGTAATTTATTCCCAGCTCCAACTACTTCTGTACCATTATTTAGTGGCCTTACTTTTGGCACACCAGCAGTAGAAAATAATTTGACATTTGGTGCTCAGCCTATTACATCAACACCTGGAAATATTAACTTTGGTACACCTACTACTACAAGTATGTAATAATAAAAAGTAATATTATTAATTAAAAGACATATAGGCACCCACACACACATGCATATTTTATATTTATAGCTTCACTTTTTGGAGGCAATGGGTTATTAGGATCAAAATCTATGAGAGTCGGTAATACTACATCTACTACCACAAGTATTGCAAATAAAGGACTAGGTGGTTTAGATGTATCTGTAAGCAATAAAGGTCTCTCACAAGGAAGTAGTAGTCTAGCAGCTGCTAAAGAGAACATTTGGCCACCAAAATTATTACAAACAATAGATGAATTCAAGTAATTATTATAATATGTAGTAAAAATATTGAAACTTTAAAAAATTAGTTAATTTAACAAACATTTTCAATGCAGAGAGTTTGTAAAAGAGCAAAAAGTATTGTCTTCTGATATAGCAAGAGGTTCTGCAAGACCATTAAATCGATGTGCCGAAGACACTGCATCATTAATGGAACTTTTAACAACCTTAGCTGGATCTGTTCAACGAGATCGTTCTTCTGCTGATAAATTAAAGCAGGATACAGCTAAAGCATTACAAAATTCTGAAATAGCTCAAAGAACACATGATACTCCACCTGGATTGCAATATGAAAATAATGCACCATTGCTGTTTTTCATGGAGTTAGCTGATTGCTTTGAACATGATTTAATGCTATTCAGATCTCAAATTGAAACAACAGAAAAACATATACAAACAATGATGACTCCAAAAACTCTAACGCCGCAAGGTAAATTTCTCCCCGTATTACGATCGTATTACGATCTTACGATTTGACTATGTGCTGCAATCTGATTTTAGAATTGACTATGGCTATGAGTAAGCTTCACGAGTCTCTTGTAGCTGTTGCTGGTAAATTACAAGGTGTGCATTCAAAGGTGCAACAACAAAAAGAACAGTATTTGAATTTTAGGAAATATGTTTTGAAAGATAATACAAACATTTTCGAAGATATTAAAGCAGATGGAAAAACATCTCGGAATAGTATTGGAAAAATTACGAGCGGCCCAACTCCATTTGGACCAGGTAATTATTTATTCTTTTTCAGATATTTAGTTATTGATTGTTTTATGTCATTCTTTACACCTATTACTTAATACATTATATAATTTACTTTTACAGGAAATAAAAGTTTTCTTTCTTCAACAGCATTAAGTTCTAATAGACCAGGAAGTTATGAAGCACGAAATCCATTAGGTAAATGAAATTGTTATGTGAATTTATAATGTTAATATATTTTTCTGTTGAAAACAAAATCCCGAAAACAACGTATTTTCGTTGTTTCAACTACCCCATAAACATCTCCTACCTTCAGGTCTTGCGTGGATTTAGTATGAGGTAGATTTACTAACATATAACGTCCTTTACTAAATACTGTAGAATTTCACATATATCAATAGTAAAACTGTTGCAAGTATTTAGTTTGTAAATATGTTCTATTTATATTTTTATTTCTGTGATTTGATTTTGATTTTACCTTTCCAGGAAAAGAGTAAGGGATCTATTTTAGTTTATGAGGTATTAAATTTTTCTTCAGTTTCTTTTTGTCTATATGGGAAAGGATGCAGAGCTTGTGTATCTAACATTCATTAAATGCATAAGGAAACATATTTATTTTTATTTCTAATAACAATAACAATAAAATATATAATTTTCTTTCTTTTTCTTAGTTTGCTTTAACAAATAGCAAAGTATGAAGGAAAGTTGCAATTTGTGCTTGTTAAGGAATGGTTGTGTATTTTATATGTGCTTTAATTGCTTCTGTCTTCTTGGTAGTTACAGAACAACGCTTACGTTCACTAAGATGTATATTTAACCGAATACGTGGAAGCTGTATCATTAACAGCAATGTTGCTAATATTTTAGGGTATTTTATTGAACATTAGTTGTGTTATTACAAAATATGTTTCAACTTTCGTGATAACTTTAGTACTGCTAATATATTACTTTTCATTATATTTTAATCCATTAAAATTTACAGAGCTTTAGCTATTGTATATGTAAATTAATCTGACTCTTAAAAACAAATTCGAAATAATTCAGTGAATATGTTGTTACAGTTTGGGGAAATACAGTACCATCTGCTACTAACATTACATTAGGCTCATCATTGAAACCACCAACTGCAAGTTTGACTTATAATACCCCATCAAATCTTACTGCACCTTTATCAACAAATGAATCGAATTCGAGTTTTCAACTTCAAAAACCACCTATTAGTAATAAAAGAGGGAAACATTAAACCGTGTTTATATTTATTCTCGTATTGTTCTGAAATATGATTAAAATTTAGTTATAAATATCTTACTT